AGTAGTGGATTTGTGTTTGTATGCATGTGTACCTGGAGTGGAAGCACAGGTGGCCAGTGGATAACATCCTCCATTGTTAGTGGAGCAGATGTTGGCTTGAGTGCAAGTCTTCCCGTCTCCCTCATAGCCTGAGGACACACACATGGGGTCAGCAGTCTCATCTTACATTTAATGGCTATTTTAGCTCAATCATTTCAGTGTGTCTGGTCTTTCTCTGCAATCTAGCAGTCAATTGAGACTTGTAAAGCTGAATGTATTAGCAGGACTAGCAGACAGTACTGTCCTCAATGAACCCAGTAAATGCATCTCTCCACCTCTAGCTGTCCGTCTCCATCTCTCCCAGAGGGAATATAATGAAATTTCATCTGTCTCTTATTTGAAACATACTACACTGAGCAAAAAACATGATTTTACAAGCCAGCCTGTGCTGTAAGCAGGACAGAGGAACAACAAACATATGAGATGTACTAAAAATAGGCAGGTTACATTTTCCCAGCCATCTCTAACAGGAAATTATGAAGCAAAAGTGAATTTTAAAAAAAAGACAAGACCAACAGAACAACCTCAAAAGTTTGATTCTAAAGATTTAGATATTAAATGCATAGTTCACCAAAAACTATTTAAATTTCAGCACGTTTCTCACATAAAGCCATTATATGGCTTCGGAAGACTTGCCAATAAAGTGCACAAGACTACTTTTATGGTGAATTATTTTAAGAGTAACGCCCAGTTCTCAAAAAAACAAAACAAAAAAGCACCTTTTGCGTTCCGCAGATATGGGTTTCAAACAACATAACACCATTCAAAAGTTAGGAGTCAGAAATTGAGCTTTTTTTGTGTGTGTGTGTGTGCATTAAATTGATCAAAAGTGACTATTACAAGAAATAAAATGCAGTCTTGTTTTCAACATTGATAAAAATAAGTTTCTTGGGCAGCAAATCGGCATATTATAATGATTTCTGAAGGGTCATGTGACACTGAAGACTGGAGTAATGATGCTAAAAAATTCAGCTTTGAATCACAATAATAAATTACATTTTAGAATATATTAAAACAAAAAAGTTATTTTAAATTGTACAAATATTTCTTAATTTTCTGTTTTTACTGTATTTTTGATCAAATAAATGCAGCCTTGATCAGCAGAAGAGACTTTCAGAAACAGAGAGATCGTACCGACACCAAACTTTTGAACACTAGTGCAAGAATTTTCATTTTTGGGTGAACTATTCTAAGACAACAGGTCTTATGAGAATGAGGATGTGAGCTAAACCTGGAGGACACTGTCCACAGTGGAAGGAGCCCATGGTGTTGAGACAAGGCACCAAGGGGGAAGTAGAACAACCTCCATTGTTTGTGGCACATTCATCGACATCCTGGCAGCTGTAACCATTACCCTGCCATCCTGAGGAAAAGAAAAAATGAACTTCATGAAAAGATGTTCTTGATAAAAATCTGCTAGTCAGCCAAATGCCTTCACATGTAAATGCATTCATAATCTTCTACATAAACTATCTAAAAAAAAAGGGCATAAGTAATTGACATCATGGATATTGACATCATTGCAATAATCCTATGTGATGTGGCTCAGCTGTGCTGAGTGGTCAAACCTGCAGGGCAGGCGCCGCAGTAGAACGAGCCCAGAGTGTTGAAGCACTGCACAGGGGGGTTTGTGGAGCAGGGCTTGTTCTGGAGACTGCACTCATCAATATCAGCTGTGCACGCTGACACCCCGGGTGGAGACATCCAACCAGCATCACAGATACACTTATACTTGGGCTGAAAAGAGAAGAAAAAGACATGCACGTTGTTCCACAGCCATATGACTTTGTTATGTAGAAGGAGATATTAAGCAGAATGTTCACACTGCTCTTTAGCATACGTATAATGAAAGTGAATGGTGACCAAAATGCTAAAAAACAACAAAACTTTGTGTATATATTACTTATGTGCAGAAGTCATATACATGACACTATGTTTGGAGTCAGTAAGATTTTATTATTATCATATCAGACAATCAGCATATTAGAATGATTTCTGAAGGATCATGTGAGTAATGATGATAAAAATTCAGCTTTGCCATTACAGAAATTAATTACATTTAGAACTATATTAAAAAAGAAAACAGATATTTTAAATCGTAATAGTATTTCACAATATTACTGTTTTTACTGTATTTTTTATCAAATAAATGCAGCCTTGGTGATGAGCATAACAGACTTCTTTCAAAAACATTAATAAAATCTTACCAACCAAAAATGTTGAATAGTAGCTCGTATGCTAACTTTTTTTTAACTAAAATTATAGTCTATTCCTCCAATTAAAGCTATTATGATATTCAAATAAACTAATTTTATGATGCTCTTTGACATTTTTGGAGACTGGAAATTGGAAAAGGGTAACATGATCATCCTGTTAAACTGTCAGTGCCTTAAATTTTGGCATATACATCACACAAAACTATTGTATGACTTTAGGAGACTTGGAATACAGCGCACAAGTTGTATGGACCACCTTCATGACAGTCTTTTTATGATAAACTCTTAAAGGTACGACATGAGGGGGAGTACATGATGACAGAATTCATTCATTTTGGGGAGAGCCATTGTGTTTCTCTGTCCAAAAATGAACTGAAGAGAACTGAAAATGAATAAATACACATCATTTTGAATCACCTCATTGGGATTGACTCTGTCTGAATCAATGCACAAGCCGTGAACACACAGATCCTGACTTCCGCCTGCACAGTCATCATAGCGAGATGTACAGTGTGGACCGTACCATTCTGGAGTACAGGTGCAACTGATAAACAAAAGAAAAGAAAAACATGAACATACAAGTCTCATAAAACACCAAAAACCGCAAACAAGACATACAACGGAGGATTACGTGTAAGATCCGGGTGTATTCACACATGTGGCCCCGTTCTGACAGCCCAGCGGAGTTCCTGCTAACACCTGACACTCATTCACATCTACAGCACATGTGGGACCCTGAAGAGACAATGATCCAGGTGTCAGTCAATCACATATGAACAGGACAGAAGCACAGACGCCTATCTGAGTGACTGACCTGCCAGTTATCAGGACAGAGACAGTGAAAGGCATCCAACAAGTTCAAGCAGGTTCCTGTGTTCTGACATGGATTGCTGTTGCATGTCTTCCGCTGTACTGTCTATGAAATCAAGAATATCACACAACTGAAATGAAATCGTAAAGGCTGAAATGGAAGGCTTGTAAATCACATAAGCAATAAGCCTCGAGTGAATTTGATGATTACAGCAATACCTGTTCAATTGTCTGAACTTTTGACTCAAGTGTAGTCACTCTGGTGTTGAGCTGATTGAGCTGGTTTGTCACTTCCTGAGACGGGCCGCTGTTCTTGATGGTATTGATGTCATCTTTGTTAATTTTGATCTGGAACAGAGTTGCACTTGATTAAGCTTTATTACAACTTTTCCCGGATGCAAGGTGCTTCAATAACATACACAAAATGATTGATCTGTGCAGACTAGAATAAAGAAAATTGAATGTAAATGGAATAAAACGGAAAAAAAAAGAAAAAAAATGCACACGCATACAAAAAAACAAACAATGAAACTAAATACAAGTCAAAAAATTAAAAACATTAAAACAAAATGAAACAGAACAAAGCAAAATAACAAAAACAATTAAATATAAACTAAAAAATAAACTAAACAAAAACAAAACAAAAAAGCACACAAGACAACGAAACAAAACACTAGTAAAAATAAAACAAAAAACATTCAAACAAAATGAAACAAAAATTAAACACAAAAGACAACAAAACAAAACAAGTAAAAATAAAAAAATAAAAAAACGAAACAAGCAAGACAACAAACACAATTAAATATAAACAAAAATAAAACAAAACAAAATCAAACAAACTAAAATACAACAAAACAAAAAACATATACATATGTTACCCTAACCCTTTGGGATGTTTTTTTATTTTTATCAAAACCTAATTTCAGATTAAGTTAGTGATACTGACATCACTATAGCATCACAACATGCTTGACCAACAGAAATATTCACTTGTATCTTGCAGTTATTATTAGCCATCATTTTCCTCTAACAGACAATATCTGATGTTTCAGTCAAACTCACCTGATTTATCTGCTGGACGAGGTCCTCTGCTCCCACCTTCAAACTTCCCGTCCCTGAGGTTGTGAAGCGAATGTCTTTGTTGTAGCCAGCAGAGAATGTGAGGTGACCGTTCTCTGATATCATACGAGGCCTGCAAATCAATTACCACCAAGTAACTTCGGAAGGCACGTCCTCATTTAATTTCTAACTCGCATTCAAATTAATAATTCAAATTTTAGGTGGTCTCAAACAAGGAAATGTTTCAGTCTTTCCCAGCATCTTTCAAGCAAAAACTAATTCATTAAAAACATTTTTAAAACTTACTGGTCACTGCTGATGTCCCGTTTTTGTCTGTTGTGGGGTTGACCGCCACTGTCACACTGCAGTCCAGAGAGGAAGATGAGAAAGATGAAGGGCCAGGAGAAGCTCAGTGTCAAAGCCATGCTGAGAGAGCTCGTCCCAGGACGCTCATCAGACACTGTACTGAACCTTCACACCAAGATCTGCCTAAAGCCCAACCAGCCAGAGATGCACTTTGGCCCTGAGAAGTCCTAACACCACTGCATTTCCCAAAATCATTTATAAAGAACATGTAAGTGTCTAGAGGGCATTTAACTCAGCTGCATGCAGGTAATTTGACTTTATTGTGTGAGTGTCAGGGGCTGTCACATGTGTTTTGGAGATCAGTAACCAAAGTTAAAGCTGTGAACCTGCAGCTTAGGGCTAATTTTCCCTCTGAATGTGAATAGCTTCACAGTAAATGACCGGCAGCATTAAAACTAATATAACCATTAAAATGATAAAGCCTAACTGGTTTGTATTGTGTGATCAAATGAGAGAAGGCAGTAATAACAAAGCAAATGTAATGTATAAAAAAAATATTTTATTCAACAATATACAACTTTACAGTAAATGTAATGATTATATATATAACATCTAATTTCCCAATGTTTTATTATGAGATCATGAGACGTATAAGATGTGAAACCACATGGACGTTCAGGCTGTTGCCCAGCACACGGTACTGCTGCTTAATGGAAATTTGCTTTGGAAATGCTGAAACACAAAATACATGTAATTGAACGACAAAATTATTACATTTTCACATTGCTGTTTCTTATGACTATTCATTAACAGTATGAATCAGTGTGTCTGAGAGGGTCTTTTTCTCCCTGTCTTCACCTTTGCTTTGTCTGTAAAGCATTCATGCAAAAAACTAATTATGAATCCTGAAACAGTTAAAAGGCAGGGTAGGTAGAAAAATACTTTTTTCCAAATTTGTTTAAACTGTCTTTATATATCAATGCATAATTAAATTAAAATGTAAGTAATCTGGAAAAGAAATTATAAAAATCGAGTGTCTGTAATCCTCTCAGGACTGCAATAAACACAGCTCATTATTCCATTCGGGACGAAAGAAAACATTGGCTGGGGCGACTGTCACTCTCCCTCGCTACCATGGATACCACCTCTGCTGATACAGGAGCAGCCCAAATGCGCGCACCCGTTTGAAGAGGCACGGAAGCTAGTAATAACAATTATAGCAGAGAAAGAACAGTCAACATTCTCAGTACCTGCATATACAGTATTTGAAAAGGCTATGAACAAAAAGTCTTTGGATAAATCAAGAAATCATACGAGAGTCAATATCGGCGTGGCTTTCCAGCGGTGGCGACAACTGAGGGATCTCAAGGGGCTGAAAAGTGACTCCATGATGGCATTATTTCTGCTGGACAGGTAATCTCGCTGTTTTCATTTTGATGGCATTTATTTGTTCATGAAGCATGTATCACTAGCACACGTAGCTACCAGAGCCATAGAGAGAAAGAGTTGCGACACTCCCATAGACCGCCATAGGAACTTTGGAATGCGGAAGTAACGCGTGTCGTGGAGCGAAATTAATTAAATTACTGTATTTTTTTACTTTTACACACATTCGCCGACCTCTCGTGAATCTAGTCTGTAGTTATATTTTATGCAGCCAGTTTTAGTAAATGTTTATTGGAAGATAATAGGTTAATTGCAGCTATAGCTTAAGTGACCAACACTTTACTAACGTTACCTAACTTACGGTAACTGATGTATATAATATATTTAATAATATTTTATATGTATGTATATATATACAGTGGTGTGAATAAGTTATTACCCCCATGCTAAAGTTGCCTAAAAAGAGGAATAAAAAAATCATCTTTTGGAAATTGATCTTAATGCCTTAATTAGAAAAATGAGGAAAAATCCAACCTTTAAGGACACCAATTTTCTTTGTGTATGAATAATGTATCTTAAATAAATAAATGTTCTTCCTTAAAATACAGGGTGCATAAGTCAGGCCCCCCCCTATGTTAAATTCCCATAGAGTCAGGCAGATTTTTATTTTTAAAGGCCAGTTATTTCATGGATCCAGGATAATATGCATCCTAATAAAGTTCCCTTGGCCTTTGGAATTAAAATAGACCCACATCATCACATTCCCTTCACCATACCTAGAGATTGGCATGGGGTACTTTCCATAAGATCATCTTTCAATGCAAATCAAACCAGCTATTAGGCTAACTGAAATAACACCATGCCAATCTCTAGGTATGGTGAAGGGAATATGATGATGTGGGATATTTTAATTCCAAAGGCCAAGGGAACTTTATCAGGATGCATATTATCCTGGATCCATGAAATAACTGGCCTTTAAAAATAAAAATCTGCCTGACTCTATGGGAATTTAACATAGGGGGGGCCTGACTTATGCACCCTGTATTTTAAGGAAGAACATTTATTTATTTATGATACATTATTCATACACAAAGAAAATTGGTGTCCTTAAAGGTTGGATTTTTCCTCATTTTTCTAATTAAGGCATTAAGATCAATTTCCAAAAGATGATTTTTTATTCCTCTTTTTAGGCAACTTTAGCATGGGGGTAATAACTTATTCACACCACTGTATATATATATATATATATATATATATATATATATATATATAGCCTATATATAATATTATATATATACACACACACACACAATTCATTTATTTAAATGGGTTATGCATATATGTGCTCATATGTATTTAGGAACATGGTTAATTCACTCATTAACTATCTCTCCGGTTTAATTTTATGAAGAATATTTTTCGGTTGAATACTTACCGAACATTGCTGTATATAGTCGTTGCTTTCAACGTTATGGGAGCAGTCTATTTCCCTCCTAAATCATTCATTTGTACATGCACAGCGTAATTATTTATATTTTATGTTGGTTGGAATTAAGGAACTGACTGCAGACCTCTTTGGGTGATCACGAAGCGGAATTTATAAGCAAGATCACAGGAATCAATAGCCTAATACAGTATGTATGTTACTCAGTTTATCTGTAAACAATACATCAGAGCCAACAGTGCTTTCATCGTGGAAGCTCTTACATGCAAAACACCTGTATATGTCATGAATCTTACAAATTCACCTTCATCACAGTGTAACTGATAGTAACGGCAAACGTGTATCAATAAAGCTATTTATAGCTAGTTTGCCTTATATTGAGTTTGATTCGGTTACGAACTTACGAGCTAGTAAAATATTTTAAACTTTACCAGTATCAATAAGCGAGCTTGACAGTGTGTACTAACAGCCATGTTAATTGTTTATATTCATACTGCTAAAGTTAGTTATTTTATTACTTGTGATTCTGACATGATGTCACTACATGCACTGCGCTCCTCTCTGCTCGGCGCTGGTAAACGCGTCCGACTCTTCCAGCTGAGCGAACGGCCGGGATCACTTGTTTATGTGTTTTGGGGGCGTGGCTTTGGAAGGAGCCGAGAAGGGAGGGGGTGGGAGTTAATGGAATAATGAGCTGTGTTTATTGCAGTCCTGAGAGGACTACAGACACTCGATTTTTATAATTTATTTTCCAGATTACTTACATTTTAATTATGCATTGATATATAAAGACAGTTTAAACAAATTTGGAAAAAAGTATTTTGGGGGATTTCTACCTACCCTGCCTTTAATTATCTAAATAGAAGCCAAAAGTAAATAATGGAAAGCTATTCATTAACCTTTTCACACTCCAGTGGAATGACATACTGGACTTTAAAGCTTATAGTCTGAAATATAATACCATACAACAATGTCTATGCACATAATGTTAAGTTAAGAAGATTTCTGTTAATTTGTGTGTTTTTCTTCTGTGCTGTGTTGGTGAATGTTGTGTGATGCCGCTGTTTAGTGTCTGATGAACGTCTTACTGAAATCTGCAGGAAAGCCCATGAGGTTGGCGATCTCTCTGGGTGTGAAGTATCTCAGCTTTAACTGGAGAAGCTGCTTCAGTTTGTCCTCTTCAGAAAGCAGTTCCAGGCTCTTAAACACACTCTCTAGCTCTACATCCCCACAGCACTGCAGGACGGAGCCCGTGCCCTCCACATAGTGACCATAACTACACAGACAGAATCAACAGTTATATATACATAAGTTACATTATAAGTTATAATAAGGAAGAAAAACGAATTAAATTGTCATATTTTGGTGTGTGTTTATATATTATATATATATATACACACACATTATATATAAAATATGTAATGATACTTTTATTTAAAAAATCAATTATATTGATGAAAAACAAACATATACATTTTAGAGTGGCCTTTTATTGTGGCCAGCCTAAGGCACACCTGTGCAATAATCATACTGTCTAATAATCAGCATCTTGATATGCCACACCTGTGAAGTGGATGGATTATCTCGGCAAAGGAGAAGTGCTCACTAACACAAATTTAGACAGATTTGTGAACAATATTTAAGAGAAATAGGCCTTCTGTGTACATAGAAAAAGTCTTAGATCTTTGAGTTCAGCTCATGAAAAATGGGGGCAAAAACAAGTGTTGTGTTTATAATTTTGTTCAGTGTCTATACACACACACACACACAATGTATATATTATGTACACAATGTATATACACTCACCGGCCACTTTATTAGGTACCCCATGCTAGTAACGGGTTGGACCCCCTTTTGCCTTCAGAACTGCCTCAATTCTTCGTGGCATAGATTCAACAAGGTGCTGGAAGCATTCCTCAGGGAGTTTGGTCCATATTGACATGATGGCATCACACAGTTGCCGCAGATTTGTCGGCTGCACATCCATGATGCGAATCTCCCGTTCCACCACATCCCAAAGATGCTCTATTGGGTTGAGATCTGGTGACTGTGGAGGCCATTTTAGTACAGTGAACTCATTGTCATGTTCAAGAAACCAATTTGAAATGATTAGAGCTTTGTGACATGGTGGAAGTAGCCATCAGAGGATGGGTACATGGTGGCCATAAAGGGATGGACATGGTCAGAAACAATGCTCAGGTAGGCCGTGGCATTTAAACGATGCCCAATTGGCACTAAGGGGCCTAAAGTGTGCCAGGAAAACATCCCCCACACCATTACACCACCACCACCAGCCTGCACAGTGGTAACAAGGCATGATGGTTCCATGTTCTCATTCTGTTTACGCCAAATTCTGACTCTAACATCTGAATGTCTCAACAGAAATCGAGACTCATCAGACCAGGCAACATTTTTCCAGTCTTCAACTGTTCAATTTTGGTGAGCTCTTGCAAATTGTAGCCTCTTTTTCCTATTTGTAGTGGAGATGAGTGGTACCCGGTGGAGTCTTCTGCTGTTGTAGCCCATCCGCCTCAAGGTTGTGCGTGTTGTGGCTTCACAAATGCTTTGCTGCATACCTCGGTTGTAACGAGTGGTTATTTCAGTCACTGTTGCCCTTCTATCAGCTCGAACCAGTCTGGCCATTCTCCTCTGACCTCTGGCATCAACAAGGCATTTCCGCCCACAGAACTGCCGCTCACTGGATGTTTTTTCTTTTTCGGACCATTCTCTGTAAACCCTAGAGATGGTTGTGCGTGAAAATCCCAGTAGATTAGCAGTTTCTGAAATACTCAGACCAGCCCTTCTGGCACCAACAATCATGCCACGTTCAAAGTCACTCAAATCACCTTTCTTCCCCATACTGATGCTCGGTTTGAACTGCAGGAGATTGTCTTGACCATGTCTACATGCCTAAATGCACTGAGTTGCCGCCATGTGATTGGCTGCTTAGAAATTAAGTGTTAACGAGCAGTTGGACAGGTGTACCTAATAAAGTGGCCGGTGAGTGTATATATATATATATATATACACACACAACACTTGCACAGGTTACAATTTATTATGATACTTTTAATATATAAAAAATGCAATTATAATGAGGAAAATATATTTATGTGTGTATGTTTTTTTTCTTATATAAACATATTTTAATTAGTTTATCATTCATTATCATTTTTATATTGATTATAATTATAATTTAATTATAATAATATTAATAATACACACACCCTTTAGTAAAGCAAACTGATCTCCTGCTACTGGGCTGAACTATATCCATCAGTAGAGCGTATCTGAGCAGGGTTTTGGGAGGCAGCAGATACTGGTCCATGTCCTCCTCTTCCTTCTGCAGAAAGTCCTGCAGCCTCTGGACAGTCTCCTGTTGGTCCTGATTCCTCTTCTTTTCTAACTCCCGTTCAGTCTCCAGCTTAAAAATGATCGTCCCCGTCTTTTCTCTCTCAGATTCAGAAGGTGTAGGATGATCGTGTGGAACAGCGAGACTGTCTGGGGATTCAGACATGGGGAAACCCTCTATAATCTGCCAGTAGATAGAAAGCTTTAGTATTCAATAGTAACTGTATTGTGGTCTCTTAGTTAGAATAGGTCTAACCAGAAAAATACCTCTGCTGATGTTGGGAATGAGAAGGATCCTGGTGGTCTCTTTGCAATGAGGAAGTATCTGAGCCTAGAGTTAGGGATCCCAAGCTGTGACCAAAAAAACCATCACAAAAACAAGACTGGCATATACTTTCTGAGGTTTTTAAGAGACATTAACAGCTCTTTTTTAAGGATGTCAAAGGATGAGACATACTCACAGATGTTGGTGAGATCAGAAACTCCTGAAAGATGTAGTCACACTCTCTCAGTGTCTTAAGCAAAGCATCCCTGCCAATTAAAAAAACAGAACAACTAATATATATTTAGACACTATAAACCATTGATAAGACCAATTTAAGGCAAAGTGCGTACTTTTTCAATATTAAAATACTTTCATCCATCTCAGTTTAATGCGCAGACAACTACTGTATAAGATTCTTATTAACACAATACATGGTGACAGTAACACAGAGGGGAAACCCATGACCCCATTGGCTCATAGCCACATAACCATGGTGATCTCAAAGCCCCTGTGCCGCCCTGGTTACCTTGCAGCAGAAGTCTCAAAGCCCTTCACATTCTCCAGCAGAATGAATTGCGGCCGCTCGCTGAGCCTGCAGGGACAAAGAGAGGCACATTCCTTCACAAACACGCTCTGGGGAAAAAAACACCTTGGCTGAGTTTGGGAATAGGACAATAGACTTGAGAAAGGGCAAATGGAGAGGAAGAGAGAGGGGAAGCAATTCTTTATTCCTTTATTAGACATGAATTAATGATGTGAGATGTGCAAAAATACTGTAGAATGAACGTTGCCAGGAAGTTTGGCTTTGTTCATAGGAAGAAGTATTGAGAGAGAGAGAGAGAGAGAGAGAGAGAGAGAGAGAGAGAGAGAGAGAGAGAGAGAGAGAGAGAGAGAGAGAGAGAGACCAACTCAAATTTGGAAATCAATATCACAGAACCGTAGACCCACTACGATGAAAATAATGTTTTTCTAGGTGTTAACATGTTCTTGTGGCATTTTTCTGATGTTAGAGGACATATCTTGAGAAAAATAAGCTCAAAGTTGTTTTTCTGAGTATTTCTACATTCAAATGGCTGTGAATCAGTAGCAGACGCTAAAATGCCGGCTAAAATATACTGGAGTTGTGACGTAGTAACTCCACTGGGCGTCTCCTCACGCGACGTCTTGGAGTGAAATAATGATCGGTGATCGGTGATAACTTTGATTAACTTCGGATAATAATAATTAACGTGTATATAATACTGTTGCCCCACCGGTATTGGGGGTGTAAGCTAGCGGGAGAGACAGAGCTCTCAGCAACGGGCAGGGGGAGGGTCGTCTCCGTGCCAACGGCTCCTCCCACAACGCAGAGGCGAATTGCTAATGAGCTACTGCCGCTCTGCTGAAGCGAAGTCCCAGAAAACGGCACAGGTTTTGTGATTTTGGCTAAAAATGGCATAATCATAATTTAAAGACCACTGGGAATGTTTAAAAATAGCTCAAAATATGGTCGGAGTGGGACTTTCAGTGACTTATGCCCGGTACCCATTGTGAGATTTTGGGCTGTCCCATACGAAAGATGACCAATTGTGCCGATTTCTGCGGTCACTGCGACTAAACGACTAGCCAATAAAGATGCAACATGAAATGGCGTATTGATCAATGCAACATGGCGCTAAAACTTAAACCTACTTACCTCAAGCTCCGCTTACAAAATTGTCATGGCAAGTTGGCCTCTTTTCCCCAGCATTGACCGCGTTCATATTCTCCTCTTTCGTTTAACACACATAAAAACCACAATTGTCCAAGTGCACAATTACCACTAGCGCATGCTAATGACGTTTTTATTCTTCTATACTAGCTTGGATCGTAGCCTATGATTCAATAGGTGTCATCATCGCACAGTCTACATACATGTCGTCCCCAAGTTCATTAGATCCATGTCGTACACGTCTATGGTCGTACGGTGTGATTTGTAATGATCTTATAGGATTGCTGAAATGGCACAGTCTGTAGCAGGCATTTAAAAGAGCTCAGATTGATCAGTCTGACCTTGGCATAAGGTCCAGGATATAAAGGAAGCTCTTTGTTCTGGGGTCAGCAACATCTCCCTGCAAACCAATCCTATTGAGAAACACACGTTAGCTTTAGTCAACCAATTTAGCAGCCTTTTTCACATTACAGACATACAGTATAGAGCAGTAATACACAACCGTTCAAAAGTTTAGGATTGGAAAGATCTCTTGTGCTCACCAAGGCTGCATTTGTTTGCTTAAAAATGCAGTAAAAACAGTAATATTGTGAAATATGACTGTAATTTAAAATAACCATTTGTTTTCAAATGTAATAATTTACTTCTGTGATGCAAAGCTGAATTTTCAGCATCATTACTCCAGTTTTCTATCACCGAATAAAGTATTAATTTCTTTCTTTCAAAAAACAAAAACAAACAATAACAAGCCTTACTGACATTAAACTTTTGAACAGTATCCACCTTTTTTCTACGCCCCATGACGCTTTGCACAAATCATGGGAGTGACTTCCGTTAAAATCGTCGTCCGTTGTCCATTCGTTCAAACATCAATGTAGTAATACATGCATGTATTATGCAACATGCATTGCCTTAATAAAAATGTTAATTAACTGGAACGTTAAGTGATAATATTTCAAAGTGATTTCTGTCATTTTGACAGAAAATAAATATTGTATTTACCTGCTTTAGAAACATTTCCAGTAAACACTGCTATAGGGATTAGACGTGAAAAGCGGAGACAATTACAAAGCATCCATGTGAAAACAAACCTTGAAAGAGGCGTGAGGATTTGGGGAGAAAAACAAGAGATTCTTAGTGCATTCCACTCAATTATTCATGGGATATATACTAAATCTAGAGAGCAGACTACAAACACGGACTATATGTTGTCTTGTTTCATACTGTTACAGTGAGATACAAAGGGAAAACAAGAAAATGATCAGGAGTTAAAGAATGCAGTGACTGAAAAAAGCTCTTGCCAACATAGACAGACATTCTTGTCACATTAAAAAATACCAAGCATTACATTATTCTCATGACGTCTGAAAATAGAACATGAAGGACATTTTACAACTCATTCAGTCCAAACGACAGATAAGGATCATTTGTAGTGCAACCTTATGATTTTAAATGATTGTCTTTTTGAGTGGAACATCTCCAAACAAACCGGAAGTGCCTCCCATAATCTAAAACACAGTTGGCTTGTTAGGAAAAAGGTGGAGAAATAATAGTTCAGCCAGAAATTTAATTCTGTTATTTACTCACTCTCATGTTGTTCCAAACCTGTATGCCTTTCATTTTATTGTGGAACACAACTGGAACCATTTTAAAGATTTGTACCACTCGCTCTTTTCCATGCAATCACAATATATGGGAGGCAAACCATCTTTAAGATTCATGCAAAAGCACCATAAAGGATCATAAGAGGCTTAAACTTCAGTCTCTTTCTCACAAAAAGCTACCATTCGGCTTCAGAAAACTAGCAATAAAGTGCACAAGCTGTATGAGTTATATCTATAATGCTTTTATGATCCCTTTCCGAGCTTGAAAGATCCAGTCTCCATTTGCTGTAATTGCATGGAAAAGAACGACCATGACAGTACTCAAGATTTCTCCTGTTGTGTTCCACAAGAGAAAGAAAGGCATATAATTTGAAACAACATACGCATGAGAAAATAAAATCAGAATTTCAATATTTCTTCAATGAACAAGAGAAAAAAGCAGATCACCTGGTGAATGGTTGACATGGTGGACTCATCAAAATCATGTCAAAGTTCAGCTTGTCAAAATCCTGTAACGTCATTCCCTTATAAACAAAACCAAGAGATAGCTTTAAACAAATTATTAAGAAAAAACAAATAAAATGACAAAAAATGCTCTCCCTTGTTTATTAAAAAACATAAGCGTATCATATAACCCACATGTAGACATATACATGATGATATAAAGGAAAAAGTATTTATGATTATTAAGTTATTTATGCTTTAAGTCTTGAACTTAAAACATTCTTAGTGCATCCAGTTAAAAAAACATAAATTTACTCTACAATAATACCATTTAAATAGCTAATCCATAATCATTATCAATTTTTAAAAATCTCCATTCATTGTTGTGTATTCTTCTGAATTGAGGCCAGTGGCAGGTACATTATTACCATGCTGACAAAGCATTGAACCTTTAACCACCACAAAAACCACTCAGTTACACTTTACCTCCTATTGCTTTTAAAAGCCCAGTCACGGGACTATGTGGTAGGACTTACAAAAACGTCATTTTAAGGATGTTACAAAAGAGATGTGTAGTTATGAGTGCAATAAATCAGTTAAATAAGATTTTGCACAAGCATATATAATACAGTGATTACAGTGACATAAATCTATGCAAGAAATGCAAGTCAGTGATAATAATCTTAGTTGTAATCTAATTATGCATATTGTTTGCCTGTATTAATTGGAATAAAGAAGAGACTGATTCATACAAAACTTCTTATGGGAGCCACTTCGTATTATGTGTATGCGTCCAAACAAAATGTGTCTAATCATTTACACAATCAAATAAGATTCAAGTGGGCAAGGACTGACCTCGATAGTTTTGGGCAAGAGTGGGGTACTGGGGAAGTTGTGTTTGTAGATTTCATTGGCTGATGTATTGACATCCACAGCAGCCACAACTTCAGATGGAACTGAGCTCTCTGAAAGAAACGCAAATTAATTCAACTAAATTTACTGTGAGATTTAGCTAGTCTACACAACTCCAGTGAATCTGTTTAATTTTTTGTTTATAAAGAACAATGTACAGTACAGTAAGGGAACAGTGACACCTGTGGGAATCATACAACAGAGACTCAAACTTCACCAGCGTGTCAATAACTTGACAGAGACAGAGCCTTTGCAACTGATCCTGTGTCAGTCATGTGTTTTAATAATCGCTCCGGATTTAAACAAAATGACGTACCCTTTAAAGCATAATGCATCCCGCCTATTCCGCTGTATAATTCCAAAACACGGAGTCGGTCCATGTTGTCCATTCTTCACTGCTGGATGATGTTTATTATATTTTGACAGCGTCTCAGACATGCCACATGTGCAATACCGAATACATGACCGTCTAGAAACAAATCCATACGCGAATCGTTCCGCTTTTTTAAACCGATTTCTTCCTCTTCTATTTTTCTTCTTCTTCTTAATAATAATAATAATAATTTTACGTTAAAATGTCATTTGTGTTATGTGAATATGTGGGTTATGTGAATATGTGGGTTGATTGTTGTGTCAATAAAAACACACACACAAAAAAAAGTCATTTGCGTTTTAAATTGTTACAGTACAAGTAGATTACGTTATCCTCAAAAATGATCAACTTTTTTAATAGTAATATATTATATAATAAATAAATAAATAATAAACTATATAATTTGAATATATACATACGGTGTTATTTATATAATATACTTTCTACTAAATACATAAATATATATCATATATATATATATATATATAATCATGTTTTAATAATAATATAATTATATTATATAATAGATTAATAATAAGTAGACCTATATAATTTGAATATATAAATATGTTGTATTTATGTAGCCTATTTGTTTTCGTAGTAATTATTTGAAATTATATTATTTTTTATTTATGTTTACATTCTTTTTAATAGTAATATAATTTTCTACTAAATACAATATTATATAGGCTAATATAATCTACTAAATACAGTAATAATGTTTTAATAATAATATATTATATTGCCAAATACATTAATAATATAGTATATAATTTGAATATATAAATATTTTGAATTTATGTATTTATTTTCGTAGTAATTATTTGAAATAACATTATATTCATGTATGTTTACATTCTTTTTAACTATTAATATATGCATTATGAAACGTGGTAACCTGCATTTGTTACACACATAAGCTGTATTATACAGTAAACAGGCTATATCTAGGCCTTTATCTCTTTTTAGTTTTACAGCTATATAATTTGCCTGTATTTGCCATGGTCAAGCTCTTTTATTAATAGAGGGGCACATGCTGCTCCTCCGCCCCGACACTTCTACGTCACTAAACCTCCCTGCACCGTTATGTCATTAGCATAGGGAGTGGACTATAAATGCAAGCAGAACCTCTGCAGTGGTCTCGGTTGGTCCGGACAGGGTGCGGTAGTTAGTGAAAGGAGACGCTGACTTCAACAACAACCCAGAACTAAAGGATTACAATGGCCAACCGAACAAGCACCTCTTCGTATAAAAGGATGTTCGGTGGGGAGCGACCTGCGATGTCCCGGTCCACTTACTCGAGTCGGCAGTACAGCAGCCCGGTGCGCACAACCCCACGCGTGTCCTACAGCAGCGCGTCCTCCGCGTCTCCATCCATCTACGCGAGCAGGGGCGCGAGGGTGCGCACCAACGCGCCCCTGCCCAGGCTCGCCACCGATACACTGGATTTCGGGCTCGCCGACGCCATCAACATCGAGTTTAAAGCCAACCGAACCAACGAGAAAGCGCAGATGCAGCATCTCAACGACAGGTTTGTCAGTTACATAGAGAAAGTGAGGTTTCTGGAGCAGCAGAATAAGATCTTGACGGCGGAGCTGGAGCAGATGAGGGGCAAAGGCGCGTCCCGGGTCGGGGATCTGTACGAGGATGAGATGAGGGAACTGCGGAGACAAGTGGATCAGCTCACCAACGACAAGGCCAGAGTGGAGGTGGACCGGGACAATCTGGGAGAGGACATCGAGCGCCTCAAAGAGAAGTATGTCCAACTGACAAAAACTGATCAAAGTTTCAAACAATAAATATCTGGCAGGTGCACGTTCATACTTTTATAATAGGAAGGCAGTTTTTGCAAACTAGATTTGGGGTTTAGTCTAAATCAGATTATTGTCATTTCGCATTTAACATAAATGAATAAACGTAGGCTAAAAAATGCATTTTATTTATTTATTTGTTTGTTTGTTTCAAGCAAAGAGTGTAACAACAGAAAGGATGTACAATAATAATAATAGTAGTAATAATAATAACACTTATGCTTGAAATGGAGTGGGGAGAAGTAAAACTTATTGAACCCCACCCCAGTCTGTCAAAGTATTTTTACAAACAAAATAGGTGCTTCTTTTTTCTTTACCAGGTCAAATAAAACCAAAATGTTGTCTAAAGTTTCATATTTCATATCACCAGAATATGAAATGTGATATAAACTGTATAAACCGTGGGTTAATAAGAAAATATATAAAGATTTTATAATTCTATTTTTATTTTAAGATATGATTTGCTGAGGATCTATTTCTCCCTGACCTGACTTTTAAATGACTAGTAATTCAGTCATTTAAATCATATTTATGACCTCAATAAAAGCAGTTAAATGTTACAACATTTTTACTGTGCAAGGTGATTCTGCATAAGACTTTTCTTTTAGAACAAAGCTCTTCGATACATGTTTTTCCCTTTTGCCAGATTAAGAACTACCCATCATTGGTTTAATTTTTTGATACAGCAAATGAGAAGAAATGGATTTATGTTAGTTTGATATCAAAGGCTTTATCCGGAGAACATATTTCCCTTGTGAGATGCTCCAGTGCATATGAGGGTGTGGCTCGGCTCAAATATTCATATCATTTTCAGACTTCAAGAAGAGATGCTCCAGAAAGAAGATGCTGAGAACGGCCTTCGGAGCTTCAGACAGGTATGCATCTGCAAAGTATAACAAACATTTTTTAGACATATCATTGGGCCTGATGTTTAACTGAGCGCTAGCACCAGTTGCATGTGATCAGTTAGCGTTCCAGTCAGTGTTTGCAAGACACTACTTATTGTGATCAGCTTCCTCACAATAACAGGGTCAGGGCAGGCCTGTTCAAGCTGCCCTCTTGTCCGGCAGCAGATTTAGACACACCACTGAAAAGAGAGCTTTGTCTGAGAGCAGGCTGGGCGTTCAGGACAATGTAAACTGTTGTACGAGTGGGAGGAGCCAGTATTTACCAGGGGACATTGGTGACTTATGGTCGCAGAGAAGAGTGTGTGTGTGTGTGTGTGTGTGTCTGCCACCACCAGCTGCAGCTCTACAAACAATTAGCAGCAGGCGAGCTATTGTTATTTAATTCATTCAGGAATGGTTTAGAAGTTTGGGGTCAGTAAGATTTTTCTTTTTGAAATAAATCAATACTTTTATTCTGAAAGGACGCATTAAATTGATCAAAAGTGACAGACATTTATGGGATTACAAATTGTTTCTATTTCAAATAAATGTTTTTCGTTTGAACTTTCTATTCAACAAAGAATCCTGAAAAAAAATGTATCACGGTTTCCTCGAAAATATTAGGCAGCACAACTGTTTTCAGCATTGATAAAAATATTAAATGTTTCTTGAGCAGCAAATCAGCATATTAGAATGATTTCTGAAGGATCATGTGACACTGAAGACCAGAGTAGTGGCTGCCATACATGGTGAGAGGTTTAAAAAAAAAACCGACCCCAATCTTTTGAACGGTAGTGTATAATGTGATTCTTTTAGTGCAGAGAAATAAAAAAATGAAAAAAGGAACTGAATTAGAATTGCACATGAAAAAGGAATTCAGATGATGTCAAGGAAGCACAAGTTCAAAACAACATTTGATTTACAGTGTCCTTGTTACACGTTACATGTAGTTACTGTAGTAATTATGCACAATTACATGCAACTAACCCTAAACTAACCCCTATTCTTAACCCTAACCCTATAGTAAGTACATGTAGTGTTACTCAGTACTTACCGTAAATGTATAATTACACTGTAGTAAGGACACCTTAAATTTAGGAGAGATGTCTCCTAGGTTGGCACATAATTGATATATTTGACATGTGTTACGCCCACAGGATGTTGATAACGCCTCGCTGGCCCGACTGGACCTGGAGAGAAAGGTGGAGTCCTTACAAGAAGAGATCGCTTTCTTGAAGAAGCTTCACGATGAGGTACTGAACCACCTGGAGACAGAAACATAAAAAATTAGATGTCTTTAATATCTCACTGATGACAATAACATTAAATGACCATTTTCACAGATTTTGCTCCTGAGAAAAAGACCCCAATAATCTCATATGCGTCTCAGAATAGATATCAGTCGTGTCTCAGATTTGCCAAAGACATGCAATCAAAAATGAGAGATGAATTCAAACACTTATCTTCCGATTCTTCCGGGGACCGAATTATCTGAGCAATACTTATCCACATTATGTTTATAGATCTATAAGGAGAAGCATCTGAGACAAAGCTGACACTTAAAAGAAACAACTCAGATTCTCCTGAGCTATAAAAAGTAACATCTGAACAATAAAGTGAATTTAATTTCCTCTGGGAATTCAACTCTTCCGCTCACAGTCCTGGTTTTCTGGCCGACTGACTCTTTTGTTGGGCTTTTGTTGTTAATATCAGGGGATTGTCAGGCATGTTTGACCTGCTGCCATGGCGATTAAATGGGTTGTGGAAACGGGAGTAATTCCAAGGGAATAAAGCTGAGACATTGTTCCAGGATCAGGACGTACATTAGTTCAGGGCTAATAAACTATCGCTACTTTATTTCAGTCATATTTGTTCTGTTTACAGTACATTCAAATCAAAAACTAAAACTGACATCAACACTAAAAAGTTTGGGGTCAGTAAGGTATTTTTTTTAATACTTTATTCTGCAATTATGCATTAAATTGATAAAAAAAAAGTGACAGTAAAGACATTTTTAATGTTATCTGCTGTTCTTTTGAACTCCATTCATCAAAGAATCCTGAAAAAGATGTATCACAGTTTCCACAAAAATTAAAGGGGTGGTTCAGGATTTTGGACATCGGGCCTCATTTCCAAGTTAGCCTTAGTGTTATTTATCAGTGGAGACAGTTTTCAAAAAATTTCATCCTGTCGTTCCAGTTGCATAGTTCGCCGGTGCTAGGCTAGCGCGAGTCAACGGTAACTGCTAGCTTGCCATTAAAAACAGTTTACCCAGTCCACAGTACACCAAAAGCAAATAAATTATAACGCCAGACTATCGATGTAAATGTCTGTTAAGAGAATAATGTTAGAAATCAAACTACCCTTTCATTGCATTGCAATAGTTATACTTTGTTCCCTGTATTTATTAG